TGAGCTAGGCACCTAATATACTCAAACACCTCTTCAGTAGGTTAATCTCCCCATTTTACAGATGACAGCACTGAGGCTCAGAGGGTTTACCCAAAGTCACCCAGACAGAGTAGGAGCTATGCGTTCAGTCACGGGAACAAGTGAGCAGTAAAGTCAGATTCTGAAACTGGGTCTGACATACGGCGGTGCTCTCATTCTGCTTCTTTACCAGTGTTTCACCTGGGACACTTTTGGTTAGTTTAGCAGAGCTGTTCCCAATTTTTCCAGATTAGTGAGACTATTTTTGTTACGATAAAAAAACAACCTGTGGGGCGTCTGGGAGGCTCAGTCGGTTGAGCATCCAACTCTTGGCTTCGGCGCAGGTGGACCTCATGGGTCATGAGATTGGGCCGCCCGTGGGGCTGCATGCTCAGCAGGGAATCTGCTTGAGATTCTCTCCTCTGTCCCTCCCCCCCAACTCACATGTGCACTCTCTAAAATAAGTAAATAAATTTTTTTTTTTTTTTTTAAAGATGACTTGTTTACAGCCCCGTTCCTGCCAAGCTCTGGCTTCTTGTCTCGGCGGGCTCAAGGGCAAAGGATGAAAGAAATCTATGTGCCTATACAATATATATATTATATATATATATATCACCAATAGTTCCCACCCCATGTCGTCCCACTGAACTTCTCATCTTCTCAGACGCTCAGATAAAACCAAACAACATCTGGTAGTAATGTGCTGTTCTCGTATCACGCACAAGCTAAGCGGCTGACTTAATGGTATGCTCCATTGGTTTATTCTACATTGTGTCCGAGAGTCATCTTTGTTTCCCATTCCCTCTACACGTCCTGGTTCCAAACAGGATACTCTGATAGCATTTCCCACCCAACCAGAAACAGGAAGCACCTGAAAAGTCATGAGAAAAATGCCTTTGTACCAAAGACCGATGTTTTAAGAATTCAAAAAGTTCGAGACAGTCTAGACACAGGCCTATAGGCTTCGAGGCTTTCATCTATTAAACCAACATTGTAACATTCTGAAGGGAGCACAGGTGAACCTCTGGGAGGCCTACAATGAGAGAACAATGTGTGGTCTTTCTGAGCACGTCTCCATTTTCTCAGGAGCCCCTGAAGAGAACCCTAAGAGGTGACACAATGGAGGTCCAGCCAGAGGCCTGAGGCCAGAGAGACAGAAGCATGGAAGAGCAGGCCCCCAACAGGGCTCCCACACTCCTCAGTGGTCCTTCTGCTAGTCCACAGCGGACACACTCAGAGGAAGCAGGGCCCCTTCCTCCCTTTCCAGCACCCACTGCCATGACCAACAGCAGATTCCCACCATGCTTCTCTTCCAGGGCACCCCCTCAGCTGCAGACTCAAAGTGGCATCCATTTCTCCAGGTGTCACATGAAATAAGCTGTCTTCATACCACTTAGAGCTTGGCTGCAGCTTAGGTCTTTGGGGAGAAGTGCCCTGTGGAACACACTGGCATGAACTTCTCTCCCCACACAGCTCTCCCGCGTGGGAAACATCCTATTTCCTGTTTTCCCCTGCAGCTGGGGAACTTCTCGAGAGCTGGGGCTGTCATTTGGGTTTTATCAGTGAGGCACTTAAGATTATGTGGACTCTGTTCCTAGCAGACAAATTAATCACCCAACAGTGACTAACACACATTTGCCTGGCATATAATATGTTAGCACATAATATGAAAGATCAGTATATATACATGTACTTAGTGTGCAACACACACACACACACACACACACACACACACACACATTGGGCACTAGTCTAAGAATGGACAAGTTTTAACACACTTCGTCCTCTTCACAGACCCCCAAGGCAGCTTAGGCACATTCACCAGGGTAGAACCAGGACTTGAATTCTGGCTGTTGGGGTCCAGAGCCTATGCCTTTAGCCACCGTGCTACATTGCCTCTCCATTGCATGGTACACAAATAACAAAATGGAAAGAAAAACCTGGCCTTGAGCAAGCCACACATCTCTAGACCTCAGGAAAGAAGGCTCATCAAGAGGATATTCAAAAGTCTTATCAAATTCTGAAATACTTCTGTTGTATTGTACTTAGCTGTCATGTGATCCCTCACTTGGAACAGAGAGCTTGGGACACCAAATTTTTCCACATTAAAAGTACAATTGCTTTAAGACCCAAGTGCCCAAGAATGGGAGGTGGACATCCCCAAAGCCAGCAGAGCACAGGCAAGGGTCTCTAACTGGGGACCACATCCTCCATCCTGCCAAGCCAGTCTTTTAGAGAAACCTGAGCATTGGCCACCCCTTGCCTCCTACAGGAACTAAAACCACAGAAGCATTCTCCTCAGTGCCCCATTGTTCTAGGGGCTGCTCTTAGAACCCAACACTCCCCAGCCCCATGAATGAGTTAGCACACAGAGGTGTGTGTGTGCCCATGGAGAAGGAGGACTGGGCAGGGGTACCACCATTTTTGCTCATTTCTTTGCTGGCTCCATTTGGCCATCATTAAGTCAAGGAATAATCCAAGAACAACCCTGGCATCCTGGGCTGATTGTCCAACTACTGCTGTGTGAGGAATCTGGGATCATGAGTCGAGCCCCATGTCAGCTATGACTACATAATGACCATGAAGTGTCTGTGACAAATAACAAGCAGTTCCCTTCCCACTCCGACTCCCACAGGTCAGCTGAGCTTTGGCTGGTCTAGTTGGGCTCCGGCTGCAGGTTCAGAGCAGGTCTGTTCCACATGTAGCTCTTCTGGGACCACTGAGCCCTAGGGGGCACATTCCATGGTGAGGGTCACAACCACCCAGAGGGGGAAGAAACGAGATCTCCTAAGGCCCCCCTTGTGAATGAGGGATGTGCAGAGCAGCCCTGAACCAAGAGGACACCGGGCCCTGCTGTGGCTCCTCCTTGGTTCACGTGGGCTTCCACCTTCCTGTCAAGCATCAGGGGCCCCACCCACACCCTGCCACCCACACCATTCCCAGGATGCAGCCTGGAGGCCAGCACCCACATCACCTGCTGGGGGGCCTTCCCTGCCCCCACACACAGCAGGACAGAATGGTGGAAAGACTCTAGCCCCTATACACCTCAGGTGGGTAATCCCAAGGTGTGTTCTCTGCTAGCCCCAGAGCTCCCCAGAACTCACGCCCAGCTGCCCATGATGGTAACTTGTAGGTAGCATCTCTCATGGGCTGTCTTCCCTCCCTCTTCTTGCCTCCCATAGCCCCACTGGGGTCTTCTGGAATGACCTCCAGAAAACTACACATATTCAAAACTCAAGTGAAGAGAGTTGTAAAGATGACATAAGAGAGGGTGTCAAGTCCCCCAAACCAACACTGGCCCAGTGCTGAGCTCACAGCTACTCAACAACACATCGTGCACAAGTGTGAGCCACGGTGGCCACAAGCTTCCACCTCTTCAGAGGTCTGTCCTTCCGTGGTCCAGTGCTTACAGTGGGATATGGAGGAAACACCAGGGACAGCAACATATCCCTATTTCACAATATGTCTTCTGGGAAAACCAACATCCTGGTCTTCTTGCACAACTGGTTTGGATTCAATCATCTTTGTTTCCAGTACTCGTATCGATTCCCTCTCCTCTCCCCATGCCAATGAGCTACCCACAGAGTTGTGCCAGGAGCTTCCCCTTCTCTTCCTGGGGTGGGACAGGAGGCCGGGAGTGAGGAGTAAGCTGGGGCAGTCAAAACACAGCCTTGACCCCTTATTGACTTATTTATCTGTCTCTGTCAGCAGACTACATTATGTCCATTTTTTAGAAGTTTTTCTTCTGACTGGGGCAATACAGAGATAAACAGGGCCGGAGTTCAATTTCCCCACATGGTCCAGCCACAGCTGATGAAATGCGGACACAGAGGAAAAGAACAAGGCTCGTCCTCACAGAAGGTCAGCATTCATGCCCCCTACAGGGGCCGTGCCAGTTCTTCCATGGGACTGCTGCACAGAACACCTGCTCAGGGCACCCGAGTTCCCTTCAGGGCCCTGGAGGGTCCTCTGGGAGGCAGAAAAATGCATGTGTCTAGACAGCAGTTCTCAGAACCATCTTTGGTGGCCTCAAAATTTGAAGCCTGGGAAACCCCAGGGAGGCCCAGAGGAAACGTGGACACAGGCTGGTGGAGACTTCAGTCCAAGCAAGTAAATTAGAGGGAGGATTAAAATATAAATAGCATAGCACTTAGAGAGGGAACAAGTGCTAGCTACCTCAGAATTAGGCAAAGAAAACCAGAGTGTACAAACTCTAAAACCAATGAAAAGGCGAGCGTTTCCTGGATCCTTACACCTCAAGTTCAACGGAGCTAAATAATGATCAGCTCAAAAAACATTTTTTAATTAAAAAAAATAATCATAATGATCACCTCAGTGGTGTTTGGAGGTTTTAAGCAGGGAGCCTGGAAAATACATTTCCTTCCAAGATCCCAAGTGCCCCTTGGCAAACAGGTCTTCGAACTGTCATGACAGTATGTGGAACAGATGGGAAGGAAAGAGGCTTGTGATGTTATGGAATGACCGAATCCTAGGTTTGGAATCCTGGACTGTCTCAGGACATTTGTCCACAAAACTGTCTCAGGAGCCTTAAGACCATCTGGGAGCTTGGACCGTGGAGACCATCGAGCCAACCTCTGAATTTTCAGGCGAGGACATTGAGGCCCAAAAGAGAAAGCAGCTCTCCTAAGGCTGCCCAGCATGTGGCAGTGTCAGAAAACCAACTTCTGCCCAACTGCTTGGCTAAAGCTTGGTGAATTTTAGACTGAGACTTCATATAGCTCAGTGCACACCATGGGCTCTGGGGCAGAGATGGGCAGGGCTGGGGGTAGGCGGGGTCTACAGCCCCTGCTCACCCCCATTCCTGGGCAGGCCCATGGGTGCCAAGAGGCCAACTAGGGACCCAGTGCTGCCCTCCAGTTAGAATTTGGAAAGCTGCGGGAAACGGAGATGATGGGAGTTGTTTAGGGTGCCACAGCAGATGTGGGGGAGGGGTGGAGGGTGGGGGGATCAGAAGTGCTCACCTTCATAGCAAGGGATCAGCGTCCTGCCTTTGGCCTGGAGGTTGGACGGGATGATGTAACAGAAGCCGTGGGGCAAGATGTGGTCTGTTTCGTAGTAGATGTTCTTCCAGCGGTGGGCACAGGCCTAAAGGACAGAGAGGGGGTCAGAGCAGGAAACTCAGCCCCAGGAGGTCCCAAAGCAGAGCACTAGCAATGCCAAGTGGTTCCACAAGAGGAGAAGGGCAGAGGGGCCAGAAAGCCATCCTCCCTCCTGCCCAGCCACAGCTTGGCTCCAGGTACTGTCTGGGGCATCAGCAACCTATACAAACAAGAACATGCCCCTGGGAAGCTACTAGGAAGAAAAAGGAAACAAACACATAAATGAATAGGGTCGTCCCTAGTGCTGAGGTCTGGGAAGGAAAAACCTGGGGTTATGGGACAGAGACTCTGGGGGTGGGGAGGACAGAGTTCAGGAGTGTCTCCACAGACAAGAGTGGAGAGCTCCAGCCACACTCAAGGATTCAGTCATTGGGTGCTGGAATCACATGAGAAAGGCTTGGAGATTTAAGGGAAAGGAAGGTCGTTGGTGGGCTGGTCCAGACTGTAGTGGGAAGAAATAGGTCAGTCTGCCAGCCTCTCTGCTCTTCATTCCTTCAAAGCAAGGGGTCCTGTAGACCTTGACGACTATGACTTTGGTGGATGTGCAGGGGAAGTTGACAGAGTCTCACACTGGTGAGTGGCATGATCTGCCTTACAGTTTAGAAAGACAACACAGCCACTGTGTGGAGACCGCAGGTGGAAGAGTAGAAGTGAATGTCCAGGTGAGAATGGATGCTGGCCAGGCCTGGGATGGGGGTAGTGGGGAGGAAAGGAGAGGATGGCTTCAGGGTGCAAGCTGGGGATAGAGCCGATGGGCCCTGGGGAACCACCACAGTGACAGAGAGCAAGAAAGGCAAAGAAAAGGGAACCAGGTCAATATAAGACAACCCCCAACACACATCCTTGAGGCCCTCAGGCCAGATGAGTATGCTAGGCATACTCATCAGGAGCATCTGTTCACTTAGTCGCCCATTGAGTATTTATTGAGCACCTACTGTGTGCAAGGCTCTCTGCTAGGCCCTGACGATACAGCAATGAATAGTCAGAGAACTGGGTCAGCCTGGTAAGGGAGACAGACTCCAGCCCTCACAAGGCTGCTGGATGGCAGGACACACTTGGGGAGTTCCTGTTTTGAGCTGGTTCAGGACAAAGTAGCAGGTTGAACCACCGCCCGTATTTGACTGTTCCTGCCTACAGAAAGATTTCAGCATGTGCGCCGTTAACTAGAAGTAGATGTTGATGGCTCTTTTTTTCAAAGTAGATTAACATAGAGCAAATGCTCAAATCCCAAGTATGCCATTTAATGAGCTTTGACAAAGGTGTACACTCATGTACACAGCCCATAAACAAGATATAGAACATTTCCATCTCACCCCAAAGTTCCCTCATGCCAAAACATGGTTGGTTTCCACAGGCAGGTCAGGGAGGGCTACTCTGAGGAGGGGCCATCTGAGCAGAGGCCTGAGAAATCAAAGGAATGGCTAGGAAGGCACCTGGGAGGAGGTTCAAGGCAGAGGGATCCGTGGTGGGCTATCGCTTGGCCTATGAGATGAGGCCATTAGATGGACAGACAGATGCCCTAATTGGCTCTCTGACAGCCTCTCAGCACCGGGGTCCAACAGACCCTGGAATGGGAGCCCGCGGCAGGAACATGGCCTGGGTGCATCCTTCCCCACCCACCAAAGACACCCCCAGCCTCGTATTCGGACATAACTGCCTACTCTATGCATGACCGCACATGTCCAAGCATCCACAAGTTTGGTCGGGGTCCAACCTGCTCACTCCCAGGGTGTGCCGGGTTCTCGTGCACATGTGCCATCCACTTCCACTCCCTAGCCACTTCAGTCTGGCCTACAAATGTATTGCCTTAAAATACCACATTTTAAAATAATCAGAATTTTTAACTTCTTGGTTTCTCTCCTTCAAATGCACAACAGACCACAATGTTCAGCATTTCTATGGCCCATGTTTGACTTCTTCTGCCACACTGGGGGTGAGCACAGGAGTCCGGAATTCCTGCTTCACATGTGGGAACCCAAGTGGGCTCAGAACCAGCAAGTGCTACAAACAGGACTGGAACTCACCCTTTCAGGGCCCTCCTTGTCTCACTAGAAAACATTTTCCATTTTCCATTTAAAACTTCTACTTCCTGGGGTGCCTGGGTGGCTTAGTGGGTTAAGCCTCTGCCTTCAGCTCAGGTCATGATCTCACGGTCCTGGGATCAAGCCCCACATTGGGCTCTCTGCTCAGCAGGAAGCCTGCTTCCCCCTTCTTTCTCTGTCTGCCTCTCTGCCTACTTGTGATCTCTCGCTCTGTCAAATAAATAAGTAAAATCTTTCAAAGAATACAAAAAGAAAACTTCAACTTCCTGCATGAGGAGCCATCAAACCCACTGCCTGAGATAGCTCTGGTGGCTGTTGGGTTTCCAGCCTCATCCACAGGCACCAATACCCCTGAAATGACCACTCTGGGGCCAAGTGAAATACTCAGGGCACCCAGTGAGAGGGGCCTCTTTGGGGCCCTCAGACTGTCCTCTGATGAAAGTCAAGATCTGCCAGCCTCTCTGCTCTTCATTCCTTCAAAGCAACAGCCCACAGCACCCCCTGACAAGGCCACTCTCTGCCCACAGGTGAAACTACTGGAAAGGTAAATTTGCCCACACACTCACTGGCTCTTGCCCTGGGACATTAAATTACACAAAACGAATTTCTTATTATTCCTTATATTGCAAAGTGTCATAGCTCCGCACTTGATACGGTCTTGTGCGCACCGCAGGTTTCTCAAGGACCTGTACAAATCGGTCACAAAACCCGTAATCGCTCCACTCCACCAAGCAGTTGATTTTTTCAATGATTAGTTCTGACTCAATTCCCTTGGCTTGCAAGCCATCTAGTTGGCTGGCTCCTGGGACACCTATTTTAGCTTATAGACTCAGGAAAGCCCTTGGCTTCCAGGGCTTACTGCATTTTATTGTACCTCTGGCTGGAGAGACAGTGAAAAGAGGCGGATGTTTACCATGAGGCCTGCTGACTCTTCGAAGGAAGGATGTTCTGCATTTAATGTCTAGTTTATTGTCTCCTCATTTGTTTTTGTTTTTTAAGTGCCATAAACTGTTTAAGAAGTGATCTTGAAGAATTCCTAGAAAATCCAAATATTGCATTTCACAGTAAACTAAACTAAAATTAAGGCATTCTGTGAGGTCAGAGATCAAAGTGTCAAAGGCAGTATGCATGTAGGAAAACAACAAAGAGTATTTCTGAATATAAATTATAGAAAGAAAAGACTGTTTATCCCTGATTATCACTATATATACACACACGCATGTCAATCTGATTCCTACGTTAAAAAAAATTCCTAGGGACTGTCTCCAAAGGATTACTAACCCCATCAATCTCTCTAAATGAGTTCTGCTGTGAGGGAGGAAGGGGGGCAGAGCAGGGAAGAACAGGAAAAGAAGAGCATTCTCTGAAAAAAACAAAAAAACAAACAAACAAAAAAAAACAGCAAGACCGGCCAAACTCAGATTCCAAATAATCCTAAGAAAGGGGAGGAGGGTCTACCATCACCCCAAATCTTAGAATCTGACATCTTTCCAGTTATAAGGATGATTGTGCTTTTTTTTTTTTTTTTTACTTCCAAAAAATAAAAGGAGAAAATGAGCAAGTTTTATTTCAAAAGTCTTTTTTGTTATATGGAAATAGCATGTCCTTCCTGGGCAGGCAGTATGTGGGGGGGGAGTGGATCCTGGGCCTCTCCCAATGGCTCAGCCACAAAGGCACGTAGGTCCCCACCCCACCCTCTTACACAGATGGCCAGAGCTATTACCACGCCTCAGGTCCGCCCTGCACAGTCAGGGCCAGGCCCTGGGCCACCGGGAACAGTGGGTGGAGGGGGTCAGGACCACGATGCCACAGATCTCCCCTACCCGGCAAGTAAGTGCCCCCCCGCCGCTTCTGCCCCCTGCTCCAAGGGAGGATGGAGTAGCCTGGGAGGCACAGGAAGGGGCTTCTGAGGTACTGGGAAAGTCCATTCTGAGAATGTTGACCCAATGACAATCAAAGTGAACACGAATTATTTCTGTACTTTCTTGCATGTGTTTTAGCTCATTAAAAGTTCTCTAAACAAACAAAAAAAAGTTCTCTAAACAACAACAACCAGGAAACACAGCAATAGAAGTAAATGCAGAAATGGACCCTGCAGCTTTGAAACAGCAGACAGATGAGAAGCGGTAAATAGACAGGGACTGCCCTGGCGTTTGGAAAGGACGCGGCCTAAAGCCAAGAACACCGCAGCCACCAGAAACAATCCAGATGCTTCCATTATTTGTCGTCTGAGCCTTGGAGATGACTGAAAAGAAGAAACACCAGACTTGACCATTTTGAAATGCCTTCCCAAATTAAAGAAAAGAGTCTGTGCCTATGCCAGGTGGGTTGGGTGTTTACGCTAAGAAATGATTTCTTTTTCTCTACTTCTTAAACTGTCATCTGCACACGAGCAGTGCTGGGGGACAATGTGGGGAGGCAAGGGGCCTGCCCTTAATGCCGATGCTGCGTTTGCTCCTGGTATCATCTGTTGGCTGGAAGAGAACATGAAGGAACCACAACACCTGTGACAAGACTGGCCGATAGAAGCCGAGGTCAGCCCACCAGAGCTGGTTGCTGGGTTCAGGGCAGAGAAAACGTCATTGGTCAATGAGACACTTCAGGCCCTGTCACAGCTTTCAAATTCTCCATCTGTTCTTTACTCTGAATCAGCACCAGATGCTGTATACAAAAAACCCAGTCCACCTCCCCCTCTTCAAACTCACCCTGGAGTCCAACATTATGTTCCTTGGGGATCCAGGTCCCATGCTCACACCCCAGCTACCTCCTGAGGGTTCAAAGGTGTTTGAATAACACCTGTCTTCCTGTGTTTAATTTTCAAATAAATACTTGCCTCGCAGAAAGCCTTGACAAGTGGACTTGACACATTAAAGAAAAAGCAAGTGGATAAAAGGCCTCTAAAATGTAAACATGGGGCTGCCTGGGTGGCTCAGTGGGTTAAAGCCTCTGTCTTCAGCTCAGGTCGCGATCTCAGCGTCCTGGGATCAAGCCCCACATCCGGCTCTCTGCTCAGCAGGGAGCCTGCTTCCCCTCTCTCTCTCTCTCTGCCTGCCCCTCTGCCTACTTGTGATCTCTGTCAAATAAGTAAAAAAAAAAAATAATAAATAAAATGTAAACATGGATGACATTACCACTCCCTGTACCTCACTTTCACCTGTCACCTCTAGGGGCATGTTAGAGCATTTTACCTCATGGCTCTAGCCATCACTCAGGCAGCCACCAAGATGGGATGGCAACTGATTTGCTTTCTAATTGCTTTAACAGTGACACTCAGACCTCATCTTACTCAAGCACACTTTTAGACACCCCTCCTTAGAGAAATTGTCTCTAAGTACTGACAGTAAAAAGGGTAAAAGATGAAGCCTCTCCCTCAAGCAACTTCCATAAAAAAGGAGACATACACACAGGGTAAACTATACATTTAAAGGTAACTACACGATGCTCGGTTCTTAATGACTCAAAAGATGCTAAGCTCATTCCAGAAAGCACGGTCACCAAAGGACCGGCTTCAAGGAGGAAGCGGACTCTAAACCAGGGAGGAGAGAGGGGGCTGGGAACAAAGAGGACCTAGGGCAGGCCTTTTCTAGAGAGATGGCATATGTGCAAAAAACCCATAGGGACTAACTCAACCACAACAAAACAATCCAATTTAAAAATGTGCAAAGGAGTAGAACAGACATTTCTCCAAAGAAGATACACAAATGGCCATCAAGCCCGTGTAAAGATGCTCAATATCACTAATCATTAGGGAAAATTGAAATACCATCTTGCACCCACTAGGGTGGCTGCTAGTAAAGGAATGGAAATGTATGGGCAATGATGTGGAGAAATGAGGACCCTTCTCTGGTGCACTGTTGGTGGGAATGTAAAATGGTGTAGCCATGGTGGGAAAATAGTGTGACAGTTCCTCCAAAAATTAAAAAATAGAATTACCATAGAGTTTAGCAATCCTACTTCTGGATATATATACAAAATAACTGAACACAGAATCTTGAAGAGCTATTTGCACACCTATGTTCATAGCAGCATTATTAGCAATACCCAAGAGGTAGAAACAACCCAAATATCCATCAATGGGTAAACAAAATATGGTATATATATACAGAAGAATAGTATTCAGCCCTAAAAAAGAAAGAAATGGGGTGCCCAGGTGGCTCAGCCAGTTGAGTGCATCTGACTGCTGATTTTGGCACAGGTCATGATGTCAGGGTTGTGGGATCAAACTCCACATCAGGCTCCACGCTGGGCATGAAGCCTGATTAGGATTCCCCCACCTCTCTCTCTCTCTCTCTCTCTCTCTCTCTCTCCTGCTCTCTCTCTGCTCCTCTCCCCCTGCATGTGTGCAGGCTCTAAAAAAATTAAAATTTAAATTTAAATTTAAAAAAAAAGAAGGAAATACTGTGATACGCTACAATGTGGAAGAACCTTGAGGACATTATGCCAAGTGAAATAAGCCAGTCACAAGACAAATACTGCATGATTCCACTTACGTGAGTTATCGAATAGAGTCAAACTCTTAGAAACAGAGGAATGGTGGTTGTCAGAGGCTAGGGGCAGCAGGAAGGGCGCAAATGTTCAATGGGTGCAGAGCTTGTTTTACAAGATGAAAAATCTCAAGAGTCCTGCTACCCAACAAAGGGCACACAGGTAATGCCACTGTACTGCACATTTAAAAATGGTTAAGACAGGGCATCTGGGCGGCTCAGTCAGTTAAGCATCTGCCTTTCGCTCAGGTCATGATCCCAGGGTCCTGGGATCGAGCCCCACATCGGGCTCCCTGCTCAGCAGAGAGCCTGCTTCTCCCCCTCCCCCTGCCTGCCGCTCATCCTGCTTGTGCTGTCAGATAAAATCTTTTTTTAAAAAATGGTTAAAATGATAATTACATTGTGTCTTTGACTACAGTAAAAAAAAAAAAAAAAAGCCATGAGGAAAATGGGTGTGGTCACAAGCCCCTCCTTCTCCAGCACCCCCAGGGGTGCCCACTGAGTGGATGAAGCAGTAACTGTGCAAAATAAGAGAACGACAGCCCTGCATGGGGTGCATCAGGGCAGGGCTATCATGCCCAAGCACCATCTCCACGAAGCCCCAGCACTGCCTTCCCTGGCTTCCCTTGCTACGTGGTCCCCGTGGTCCTCACTGCCGTTCACGTCCCCGGAGACAGCTCCCTCCTCAGATGGATTTACGGTGACACAGGACCCTCTGGGAGCAAGTTCCTGGCCACAGAGAGGTTCTCCTTCAGTGGGCGGAGGAAACGTTTCCACAGGACAACCTCCGGATCTAGGCTCCACACGCTCGCGGGCCTCATGGGCCATGCGTCCCCCAGACCACCAACTCCGCCGCTCTGAATTTCAAGCTCAGGCCGCCCCGATCTGGAGATGGAGGACGGCAGACAAGCCTTCCAGGCCTCCTGGGGCTGCGTGGTCCGGTCAGGGTCGGGCCACTACGTCTGGAGGAATGCCGAGGCTTGGAGAAGGTCCAGAAAGCCCGCAACAGTGATTAAAGCGCTGGACAAACAGCGGGGGCTGGGGGCCCTCAGCGGATCCCCAGTGATTCCAGTCGGGAGGCCCCTCCACACTAGTGACGGCATCCAGCTGCTTCCTCCCTCCCCCAGGGGCCCAGCAAGGGGCAGATACCACACTTGCAGTGAGAAGGCAAGCTGCATTCACAAGAGCAGCCTCCACTGTGGAGAAGTTTAACATGAAAGTGGGCTCCTCAAAGAGGAGAAGGAGACGTTTTGCCTAGATGCATTCAGAATCCTATATCCCCCTGGGGATAAAATATAAATATGTGAAACCCTCAACTTGATAGCATGTGGCCCAAAGGAAGCCTTCAATGAATGGCAGCTGGTAATGTTTTCCCTCCTTGATCTTATGCTTTTAGAGGAAAAATCTTCATAGAGCTTCCAAGATAAAGCCAACAAAAAGAAAAGGGGTATGAAGTCAGAATACTGGTTATCTCAGTGGAGAGGGCCACGAGGGAACATTATGGGATTAGCAACAGGCATGCGTGCGTGTGGATATGAGAACCCCACCAAGCTGATCACATCAGGCTGGGTAAGTACTTTAGTGTTCTACCGTAACAGGAAAGAGTAAAAGCAAAGGAAAAAAGGAGACAAAACTTCTGAGGCAGTTACCAATTCCTTTTTGGTGGAGTCCAATAAAACCCTCTGGAGTGATGGAAGTGTTTTCTCTGTGTGCTGTCCAGCACAGTAGCCAGGAGCCATGGGCTGCTACTGATCACTTGAAATGGGGCTAATGGGACTGAAAAACTGAATTTTTAATTTAGATAAATTTAAAGTGTATTGACTCCATGCGGTGGGCAGCTAGTTCACTGGAGGGCATAGCTGCAGGGTATCACAAGTGTCAAGGGTAAAAAGACTATTCTTTGCACCTCCTCAAGGCACCTAAGGAGCCTGAGTACCTCATATGCACTTTGGGAGCCAAATAGAGTTGACCCTTGAACAATGTGGTGGTTAGTGGCATTGACCTCTCATTCACTTGGAAATCTGCATATAAGTTTTGACTCCTCCCAACTTAATAGTCTATTGACCTGAAGCCTTATCAAGAACTTACTTTGTATGTCCTTTGCATGTTTATATGTACTAGACCCGGTATTCCTACAATAAAGTCAGCAAGAGGAAAGAAAATACTAAGAAAATCCTATGGAAGAGAAAATACATTTACAGAAAATTCACCTATAAGTGGACTCATGCAGTTCCAGCCTGTGTTGTTCAACGGTCAACTGTAAAGCATGAAAATTAACCTGGATTTCCTAATATATAATCCTATGTAGAAATAAACTACTGATACAACATGGGTTAATCTCAAAAGTATTCTGAGTGAAAGAAGCCTTGCACAAAAGAGCACACATGGTAGGTTTCCATTTATATGAAGTTCTAGAAGTATAAAAAGTAATCCTCAATAGTACGAATCATAACAGTGGTTGCCTTGGGGTGAGAGGAACGGACTAGAAAGGAACAGAAGAGAACTTTCTGGGGATGGGAGAAATACTCTCTAGCTGGAAGGGGGCGGGGGGATTACACAGGAGTGTGCCAGGTCAAAAGCCAAACTGTAATCTTAATTCTGTGCATTCCATGCACCGTACACCTCAAAAAACACACTCACAAAAGTGCTTATGTAATGAACAAGATTTCCAAAGCACAGCTCACACACATTTTGTCTTATTAAAACTACCATATCTCTACACCCTGGAACAGACATTAAACATCCGACAGATGATGAAATTAAAAAGACCCATCACTGGTCCAAGCAGTAGTCCAGAGCCGGCAACCCCCAAGGCCATGCCCTTGTCACTGTGCCATCCAGCCTGCCTAGGGGATCACAGAGCCACTGGTCCTCAGAGTGCCACCCCCTCCCCACAGCACCCCCAGGAGGCCTTACCAGCACGAGGCCATCCGCCTTGGGCTGCCGGGCCAGGCTCACCCCCATCCACTCCTCATCCCGGTCTTCCCGGCAAGTCTTTCCACACGGCGTGCCCCGATTCTTCCCTGGATGGGAAAGAGAAAAGCCAGACGTGCTTTGAGAAACGATGTCCTGCGGACTGCTTTTCAAAGGGTGTTCTACATACCGTCCAAATGCTGGTCACCTGCCAGTGAGAAAGTAAGGAACTTGGAGCAAAGTGTAAATCAACTCCATCACGGTGTCCTGCTGGCTGTTTATTTGAGCCAATTACTTTTCTCATGCAGGACCTGCTCTATGAAGGAAGTGGTGCAGGGCTTTACGATCTGAAGCTGGCTCCGTGATCTGTTACGTACCTACCGGGAGTAAGCGGTTCACAAACCCGTCATTTTGAGTAGTGCTAAAGAACACTGCAGATATCTCTCCCTTTCAGCTGAAGATCAGAACAATTCTTCACTCAAAAAAAAAAAAAAAAAATACAACCAGAAGCTCTTGCTGGGAAAGAACTTTGTAGAAAGTGAGGCCCTGAAGGGATTGTAATAATATAGCTCCCATTATGTACCAAGCACAGATCTATGTATCCCCTCTCTTCTTAACCATCTGAAAGTATCTTAGTCCTGACTTTACAGGCAAGGCAACTGAGGCCAAGAAGGCTATGGGGCTTTGCCAGTAAGTCCCAACTAGTAACTGGCAGAGCCGGACTCTGAACCTGGGCAGAATCCCCGACTCCAAAGATGATGCCTCATGTATTTTCCACTGGACTGAAGTGAGTTTTTTAAGACCTCCATCCATCATATCTTTCCCTACTTAAAATATAAGTCCTAAGATTCATTTTAATGGCTTCCCCCTTTGTGCAAAGCATAAAATCTTCACACCTTACCCCAGCCTGCTGGGGCCCAGGTGAGGCAGCCCCAGCCTACCCCCATCAACCCCTCTGCTTCCGCTCTCCCACTCAGTACTCCAGCTACACCGTCCTCACTCAGTAAGCGAGGACATGCTTTCCTCGGGGCCCATGTGAGGCAGCCCCAGCCTACCCCATCAACCTCTCTGCTTCCGCTCTCCCACTCAGTACTCCAGCTACACCGTCCTCACTCAGTAAGCGAGGACATGCTTTCCTCGGCTTGGAAGTTCTGCCTCCCGTAGCTGCCCAGCTAGCCAGTGTGAATCTTTTCATGCGTAGATCAACTACCCACCTCCCCTCTGGTCTTCTTATACTCAACTATTCATCTTCATGCCTCTCAGTCCAGTAACTTGTAAGGCACAGGAGGGTAAGAACTTGGCTTTGTTCACAGTAGATCTCTGTGCAGTAATAGGTACTTGACACATAATGGATGGATAGATGGGTGGGTGGATGGATGGGAGGGAGGGAGGGAGGGAGGGAGGAAGAGGGGCTGAACCACCAGGCAGCTCTGAGAAGACAAAGAGGACGTGTGAGGGTGTGGAACCCATCAGTGACATCCACTTACCTCGAGCCATGTCCAATTCGGTGCATCTCCGGTCAGGGTTGGTATGGACACGACACTTAAACACAGCCCCAGGGGACCTCACTGAAGTGCTGTACTTGGACTCTGCCTTTGGTGCGCCCACAAGAACCCTGCATATCCAGAAGAAAGAACATTCTGTCACAAGCCAGTACCAGGAAAGAGGAGGCTGGTGGTTAAACCCTCACCCAGCCAGGGGAGGGCTGCCTGAACGCTCTCTGACAAGCCACACCCCAGCATCATCCTGGGCTTCGGGGCCCGGGGAGCATAGCCTCCTGCAGCGAACCTGTCGGATGTTCTCCAGGCATGTTTAAAGCTCAAGACTGGCTGGGAACACATACAACCGAAGGGTTCCTATCTAGAACCTATAGCAGTCCTATAGACATATAGGAAAACACAGAGAGCCAACAGAATAGTGGGCCAGATATTTGATGAAAGAAGATAACCAAACGGCCAATAAACATATGACAGGATGCTTAAGGACATTCGTTATCAGAGAAATCCAAGTGAGATACCACTTCACACCTACTAGGTTACACCAAAAAGACCTCAAACACCAAGTGCTGGCAAGGATATGGAGGAACTGGAACCCTCATCCACTGCTGGGGGGACCACTTAGAGAACTTGCCTAAGTGCCTAAGAAAGTGGACCATGGGCCTTACCCGAGGACCCGGAGATCCCATTTCTGGGAACATACCCCACAGAAATGCATACGTGGGTCTACCAGGAGATGTGGTCAAAAATGTTCCCAGCTAAAAATGTTGTGGCCAAACACTAGAGGAGACTCAGAGGGTCTCCCCGTGCCAGAGCGGACACGTAGAAAGGTGGCGTCACAGAAACACAACAGCATTCTGCACAGCGATGAAAATCAACGAGCATGCAACGGCGCCACACGAGGAAGCTCCGGAATACAGCATTGAGCAACAGACGTCAGGCCCGGCGGGCTCTCACTGTCTGATCCCACTCATCTCAAGTCTGAAGCGGCTGGAATTTAGCTGGCGCTAGAGGTCACTCTATGGGTTACCTCTGGGGAGAAGCGGTGGGGGGGGGGGTGCAGCTAGTGAGAAGGGACTTCCAGGGGTGCGTATGATGCTCTGTTGGCAACCTGAGTAGTGTCTGCACAAAGGTGATGATTCCCTGAATTGTGTACATGACAGGGGCACTTGCTTGGATGTGTGTGATACTTCAGTTAAAAAAAAAAAAAAAAAAAAAAAAAAAAAAAGAATTAATAAAAAGTAGGAAATTTGGAGATGTCATTTCTCTTCTATGTCCCTCTCTTCCCCTTGCTCCCCACCACACACAAAGCATGTATATTTGGGAGATATAGGAAAGAAATATCAGGAGGGTAGAATTACAAACCACTTCCTCTACCCCAACACCAGCCAGAGGTAGAAGCGTTCCCATACAAACAGGGACAAGAATGAAGCCCTTCGTCTTGACCAGGAGGCTGCTGTGGGGATGGGCTCTCCCCCACAGGGCCCCTCCCCACCGGAGGACAGGAGCAAGAAGGCTAAGACAACAGAAGAGACGCATTTGGGGCTGTGTGGACACAGAACATTGCAGGAAGTGGCCACAGGCTCCCCCGCCGATGTTACAGAAACACTTGTGCCCTACATGTTCATGTATCATTCCCAGAGAGCAGTCAAGCGCAGAGCTAAAGTGGAGAACACTAACCCGTACAGTCACGCACAGTGTGTGCTGAGCCACAGCCATAGGGAAAGGGGCTTGTAAGGTGAGACTCTGAACAAGATCTACACCTGTGTCCACAGAGTAGGAAATTCCAAGCCACTGCTCCTTCCCGTCTGGCAGCCTGGAAAGGGGAAGCAATTCTCCTGGAAAGGTACCAGGCACATTGTGCAATAAACTAGCCCCTACTGGCCTGGCATAGAATGCATTATCCACATGTGTCTGTGGAAAGCGATCTAGCAGAAGCTAGAATGACCCAGAGACATGGGAAGCTGGCCCAGGTTCCCTGCACTCTGTCCTGAAAGCTACCTTCACCTTGGGATCGTGAACTTCACCCCCAACCTAGCTGCAGCGTGACACTGCTCCCTCCCCAGCACCCTGGCTGAAAGCAGTGGAGATCTAGCCGTCAGAAAACAGAAGTCTGGCATCTTCAGATGGACCCGCCGCAAAGGCAACAGCCACACTAATCGGACTCAGAGACATGGTATGAGGCTCATGAAAAGGCACGTGGGTCCCGTCTTAACTCCTGCTGCCTCCAAGCCCAGTTCCTCAATGCCCAGAACACAAAGGATCACTGAGAACACATGGGGCCAGGGAAACCAACCCTTAGTGGCATGTTTCTTTCCAGATCAGTCTGGTCTTGAGACTCTGTACTTGATTCGGTGCAGGGTCTGAAGGGCACAGGCCCCTCACTCACACGCCAGCTCCCGCTCCTGCGGCCTCGCACAGTGGGCCCCAGCTGCAGAACCCCCAGGCAGCGGGGCTGGAACCCGCAGCCTTCGGGAATCCCAGCAGGCACTTTCCCACACGGACCACACCAGGGCAGCTCAGCGGGCTCTTGGCTGCTCTAACTCAAATGCACCATGACACGCAAAACGAAACTCCAGTGAGAAGAAAGCCACATTAAGGGATCAATTTCCCCCTGGCTTCTGGGGCTGAGCTTCAGAACTACCAGGGCAAGTCAAGGGTTGCCCTGGATAATGCCAGTTATGTTTTCACAGGTGAGAAGAATTAGCAGTCTGACAGGTCTAAATGCACGAAACATCCACGGCCTTTCCACATGTCAGGTTGTAGGAGCCGAGGAACATAAAATGCCTTCTGCACTCGAAAAACCCCAGCGGGACGGGGCTGGGTCCAAAAGTTCCCACAAACGCCTAATTTACATTAGCACAGCGAATAAATGCCACTTGCAATTCATTTTGTAAACATCACAAAAATTAGACAAAGGGGGAGAACTATTCACATAGCAAGGGAGAGAAATGGCTGCAAGAAACAAGCTAGTTTTTTATCCCAACCCTGCAAAAGGCACTGGAATCCTGATCCTGACAGACAGCCCACTGCACTAAATTCACTGACCCAGGCTCACAGGTTATCCAGGGAAGGGACCATGGAGGGCTGAAATCCCAGGCGATGCTTCTTCCAGACTAGAGCTGAGACCCAGAGGGGCTAAGTTTACATCAAAACCTAAGGTGGCAAAAGGATCCACAGAATCACCTTCCCTTCCAGACCCAAGGTCCTCAGGGGTTCGAACAATGGCTGACTGGGCACGGATCACAGCACTCTGGGTCGGACACTTCATCAGCAGGTCACACGAGGAGGTTTCTCCCAAATCCTTTGTAGTGGGAAATGAAGCAAGAGATAAGGGGGTGTCTGCACGCACGTATGTGCTCCCTGGGCTGGCACAGTGGAACAGGAGCTTGTATCTCTGTGTTCACAGAGTGCTGTGGCTTCCTCTGCAGCCTGGAGCCATTCTTTACCCAGGCCTCCCTCCAGCAAGACCGCGGCGGCAGGCCAGCCGACGAGCCCATCTCCTCTGAAGTGAGTTCAGCTGGCTCTCCGCCAGGCCGATCCCAAGAGATGAGAGCATGCAACCGCCCAGAGTTCAGGACAAACCACCATGAAGACGCCGTCTGCCTTTTCTCTCATCGTTCTGAGTTATAACGAGACAGCGCGGGCACTTCCAAGATCTGCTCCCCCCCCACCCAAATCTTCCCTGGTACCCTCGACAGGACACTGAGAGGTTTCCTTCCTTTGTACAGTTAGCATACAAAAGGGCCCGGATGGCCCACCAACAGGCTCCCATCAATAAATCATCAGGCTGATTCGCACCTTGGCGGGCTACTTCGAGTGTGGTCCTTGGTCCGGCAGCCTGGAGAACACCTGGGAGCCCGAGGGAGATACAGAATCTCGGGTCTCAGCCCGCAGAGTCAGAACGCACGTCCTACCAGCTCTCGGGCCGACGTGCCGCCTGAGAAGCACGATATAACCGCCTACGCTGATTACAAATCACTGTGTTCCCTTTGGGGCCAGTGTGGATGGATGACCCTCCAGAAGTGAGACTCTCCTCCTATCCCAGCCCCAGTTAATGCTGCTCTCACACTGCGAAGACATGTCAACGTTCTCTCCTTAATTCACAAATCTAGCTTTCCAATTATAAGGACAGCCAGGGTGTATCAGGCACTTGGGGTGTGAACATGCTGGGTGAGGCTCCTTCAAGGCAGAATTGCATTTAATATTCAGAGCAATCCCATGAAAGGCACTATTATGCCCATTTTACAGATGAAGAAACAGGTGGCCAAAGGCAGACATGGGACACCCCCAGGCCCACGAAGCACGGTGAGGTGCCACAAGGCAACATGCACCCCAACAGTCGCGTGCAGTGCCCACGCCCCTATTCTGCCTACCCCACAGCAGCCAGAAAGCAGGAAACAAGAACCAGCAAGTGTGAAGGGGCCAGCCCCCTGCTGCCAGCCACCCCGCATGATTTTGCCAGAAAAAGCCCTTATGAGGCTCTGCAGGTGGCTCCTGGGTTAGAACTTGGGGAATTTCTGTCATGCAAAGGACTGGGGTTTAAAATAGAATCCCTCTACTCTTCCACATCAGGCTGAATATTGATCAGCTTCTTGCTTTTCTAAAACGGGTACGTTGCTGACACTATGATGCCCAGAAGTTTGCCCCTCTCACACACCTGTCTGGAGATGGGGGCCCATCTGTTCATCAGCCCGCACCAGTCACGCTCACTGGTAGTCCCATTTCTTGCTCAAGGTAACCCTGCTGGGCAGCTTCTCATGCACCTTTTACTAAGAGATCGTGGGTTACACCACTGGCAAGCAGCAGAGCTCGGATTTAAACCCTGGGCATCCACGTCCAAGGGTGTCCTCTTTCCAGTCCTCCAAACTCCCTCCTCTTATGGCAGTTTAAACACCATCTATTTTTCCAACACAGCCACCTCCTTGGTGGGCAAGTGTGTGGTCAGGCTGGCTACAGAGACTCCACACCCACCACCCATCTGGTTTGAACCAATTCCTCACATCAGGAGAACAAACAGCAGGTAAATTCCCCGGCTAGCAGGTGACAGAAAAGGACCACGATGCCTCCCCAGGGAAGGCTCCCGTCCTACCCACAAATACCACAGCCATGGTTCCTG